TAAGCTCATTCTCCTGTAAATTGAAATGCTGTTCATGGAGCTGAAGATTTCTTTTAAGAATCCTAAACAGAACATTTCCTATTCTAATTGAACTAGACACTCTAATGACATAGAGATATTTCATACTTTGCTCTGCTTCTTTGAACATGCTTCTTTGAATCATGTCTGAAGAGTAACAATATAATCCTTATAAATGAAGAATAGCTCTTCTTAGTTTAAAAGGAAAGCTGAATAGAAAATGATGTTTTATGTCTGCCTTTTGTCACCGTTATTCTTTTAGTAGTTTCAGGCTCTTGTATCACAGTTGTAAGTTGTGCTGTCATGGACAATAGTGGTGATGGCAATGTCTTCTACAATGAAAAACTGCTTCCAAAATAATCAGTATGTTCAAAGTTTCTTAGCAACTTTTCATAAGTCTACGCAAAATGAACATCACGTGTATTCTGAATAATAAAACATTTAAAAAAATCACATTGGGCTAAACTCATACCTCAAAACAGGGCTTATAAAAACACAATGAACCTACACTATTTTGGTGATGATCTTTGTGCATCTTGGGAAAGTATTTATATTAACAGAAATGATTTTCTAGGATTTGTACTGATATTGGCCCGTATGTTTGAAAGGCTAGTGGGGGACAGTTCTTATTGTTACATCATACTGATAAAAGCAAACTTTATGGCTGCCTGAGAGCAAGGAGTACTGTACTTGGGGTTAAAAATACTGAGGACCTAATTCTTCATTCTCTGTGCATCCAAAATAAAAAATATATATTTAAATTGTGTCATTAAAACCAAAAGACTGCGACCTTAAGTCAGAGAATGCAGGATGTGCTTGCTGTTGACAGGGGAGTGGAGTGGGAAAAACAAAGCACCCCAGGATGCTTGAGGACTGTACTGTGGCTTCTCTCAGAATAGAATATGTATAGACACTTGCTCATTCAGGTAATTTTTTCTCCTGGAGCAGCCATTTTTGCTGTGGGAGAAAAATCCTAAACATCTGTACACTCGTGGTTTCTCCTGGGAGAGCAGTGACTCTCTCAAGAGAAACTGATCTGAATGACTAATTTGGGCACAAGTTCTCTTGAGAAATAAGTTCAGTCTCACAGATTCTGATCTCACACCAGTTTTATACCACTGAAACTCCTTTGGCTTTAGTAGAGATGAGAGATCACAATGTGGCCCACTATCCTTCAAAACTGTTAAGAAAAAAGCAGGGCAGGGTGACACCTTAGGGCACCTATATATGTACCCAATGCCTGCTCCTATGGGAGCTAATTAGCACACTCCAGCAGCCTCAACATCATGCGTATTCAGTGATCCCATGATTCAAAATAGTGGTGGGGGTGCTTTAACTAAAGCTCGTCGAATGAGCTTTAGTTAGAGAGTCCCCACTGCAATTTTGAAGCACGGGACGCTGAATACACAAGACACTGTGGGTGCTTTAATTACAGTGGCTCCCAAGAGCTGCTCTGATTAAAGTGTCCCTCCCATCCTGGAGCACACCTTGAAACACACATAAAGATGCCCTTCAAGACTAACTAGTTCAAAGCATATACTTTCATAGGTGACAGCCTACTTTGTCATCTGCTCTGAATGATGCAGAAATTGTTGAGAAAAATCTTAAAAGTGTACATACTAGTTTCACTAAAGTCCTTATTGCTGACCATTTTCATTCAGAAACTGAATTCCTGAATTAGTGTTGGGCAGTCAGATTCCTTCTCCTGAGTTTAATCCTCTTTTCTAGCTCCTTCCCCACACTAAGAAACACTGAGTGATGCAGCTTCTACAACTGTTCCTTCACATTTCCCTGTGGAGGGAAGCTAACCCCTTCAAAGAAAAAGTGCTGGTTACTTTTTGCTTATATTATATTTCTTACAACTTCCCTGACTCACCTCTGCCAATTATGCGATCTCAGTCTCCCAAAACTCCTCCAACATATCATAACTATCAAAACTCCCGCAACATGTTAGCTGCAGCCACCTCCTCAGAAAACTGTCTGAGCTAGGATTAAATATTAAAAACATATGGTTCACTTTCTCACTCTCCAGCATCCTCAAAATCTGGAAATCTTGAAGTCCTACTTCCTGAACAGCTACTAAGTACCAGTAAATCCTATGTAATTCTGCCTAATCCTGACTGTGTCAAGAAAGAGACTTCCTGAGACAGTTGAATGTAAGGAATGTAAGGTTGTGAATAATATGCTTGGAATGCTACTGCATGATGCTCACGGGAAATATTCTCTGGTTGCTATGGAGAACCCATCTGTCTATAAATGTATAAAATGGGGTTCAGTCTTCTTCTGTATATGAAAGACATAAAAGATAGGGGCTTTTATTCAAGATCAGAGTTGATGTGTAAGGGCATGTGTAGACAAAATGGGGGCCCTACATTGAAGCAGTGGGTTTTAAAAAACACTGCTTCAATTTAGGGGTTATTAAACCCCCATGTCATGCACACACCCCGCTGACTTACCTGCCTCTCTGGTGGGGAGGGGAGGGCAAGCTGCCTGCAAGCGGCAAGGAGGGGGGCTGCTGCTTCCCTCCGCAGCAGCAGCAGTCCCCCACCCACAGGCAGTACATGCCCACAGGAACCCAGCTCAGGGAGTCCCAGGGGGCACTACAGCCGTGGAGGGAAGTACGGGGTCCCCGCACAGCTCAGGCAGGCAGGCAAGCTCCGGTGGGGAGAGGGGGAGAAAGATCAGGCTCGCTGCTTTTCTTGGATGGAGCTGCTTTTCTGGACTGCTGCTAGGCTGCCTGCAAGGCTTCCTGCAGAGCCCCTGAGCTGCATGGAGCCCAGTGTTTTGCTCCATGGCTGTAGGGGCAGCAATCTAAAACTCCTCAAACTAAAACTCCTCACCCCAAGTCATTTAAGGTGCATTATGCTGCCAAATTTCCTATAGTGGCTGGAATTAACGCGCAATATTCTGCCAAGGTGTGCAAACACCAACACCATTAAAGCGCGGCAAAAGCATTTAGCCCACTTTAAAGTATCATGCACACATGCCTCTCATTCCGTCTACACACGGCCTAACAGTTTACAGGCAGGGAGGAGAGAACATAATTTTTTCTGAAGTTAGCACTGTACCAATCATACTGTTTTTGCTTCCTGAGAGAGACCATTTCATATACTGTTCAAGCGAGGATATGTTAAGCAGAAATAAATCAAAGCATATTAACTCAGCAGTTGTTTATACCCATAGTTGCAAGATATTACCTGTTTACGTAGACTAACTGTACATTTGACTCTTGGAACATTTAAGTCTTGGAACCTAACCATAATATGTGAAAGACTCAAACAGAAGCTGAGAAGAAAAGATTACAAAAAAGACAGATAGATAGAAGGACTTCAAGACAATTAAGATGGCGTAAAATCTATTTATGCATCTGTTAGAACATCAGTTTCTATGTTTGGTGGAGGTACCGCATTCAATAAAACTACCTAATCAGAGCAATAATAAAAGCTAATAGCATCATCAGACATGGCTATAATTACATTGTCCTTGTGGCCAAAGGCTCCACTGTTGCTCTAAAGTTAATTATTTCAGCCATCAACAGAGAGAATTATTTACTCACTAATGCAAGGATGGGGATTCTTTTAAACAGAAAAGCAGCACTATATGAGAGAAATGAACTTCTTGCCCACTAGCAGTAGTCTAACTACTACTCAAGTAAGTAATGTGGACAGTCTTGCAGATCAAAATATAGTACAGGGTAGAAAACAGTATGTAAAAAGAGATTTGTGGATATCAAATCAAGATGCCAATCCTGCAAATATTTACACATGTGCCTAAATTTGCTATTATGAGAGGCCCCATTCCAGGATAATGAAACAGTCATAATCAGTCATAATCAGGACCCCAGGATCCTGAGCCCTATATAAACATACTACGATGAGATGATAAACTCTGTGCCAATGAGTTTACATGTTTGTCATTGGCATAGAAGAAGAGAATTTGGTTCAATGCATTAAAACTTTAGTTTAGTTTGTCTAGTAATCCAGATGGGATGAAAATGCTCAGCAATGAATGAGGACATATTAGAGGCTTGCTCAACTGAGAGAAATGCCTAAACAAGGCTCAGTTCCACAGCATACATTTAGCAAAGAAAATGAGTAGCTGACTTTAGGATTAGCATTGACAATGTGCTCAAACCAAATAAGAGATTAAGTGCACATGTGATAAAGACAAATAAGTATGCTCACATGTGATACAAGGAGAACAATCAGGCAGATCTTGAATGATAAGTTTTGACATTATTTGAAGGCAGTTGAGATTTCTGAAAAGCAGAAATTTTCCATTATATGAAGATAAAATTTCAGCCAAGTAAAGGTCCAGGGCCTAACCCTGCTCCTAGTTAAGGCAATGCAAACCAACCATTGTCCTTATAGACCCAGGATCTGATCCACCTCTGCCAAAAGACTGAATGTAGAAACAAACACATGACTGAAATGGACATGTTAAAACAGTCCCAAGAGGGGGCCCACTAGACATCTGCTGAAAAAATCTAAATTAAAGTGTGTCCTGTTTAATATGTCTGTTTCTTACAGACTAGTAATAAATAACTCCCATTGACTTCCAAAAAAAATTGGCATGTCGAATTGTATTATCCAATTCTCGGCAAGACTCTAATATATAAATGTAACTCCATACAGGTAACTTGCTTTTTATAACATGGCATGAAGTTGGCATTCGTACATGAGCTAAGGAGACTTCTCATGAAGTATGAGTTCTAACCATCATCCACAAGCTGCCCCGTAGCTGGTTATGTCAGGGTTAAATACTGGGGATCACCCAAAATAGACATAGCACTCTTTCCGCAACTGATCTTAAACCATTATTATGAGTCTTAATTACTTTATTAAATATGCATATAGGTGTGGCATAAGTCCCCCAAAAGAACTCTGTCTGATCCAATAAAACCTCAAGAGGAAATCAGCTGTTTCTGGAATGATAAGCAGCACAGCATAAAGAAGACGGACTGTACTTGCTACAGAGAAAGAAGAAACATGAAGCGTATTGTGCCTTCAGGCTTGATTGTAGCTATCTTTGCTCTTGTTTCTGCTAGCTCTTTTGACAGGTAGAATACGCTTGCTTTAACTGAACCTGGCTACACCTGTTTTTGATGCTCAGATCTCTTACCCATTTCTTTTCTTTATGTTTTGAAGAGCGAAGGTATTTCGTGTGAAGCCTCAAAATGAAAGACAAGTGAAGTTTATAAAGGACCTAGCCAGCATTAAACAGGTGAGAAATTTTACAACATGGGCCATCTAATGACGCTTTTGTTTGGTGAAGCTATTTTCAAATAATATTGCATACAGTGTGTCAAGGTCATGTTCAAGACCATACAGATATGAAATGAGATAAGTGACTTGTAGCTCCAGGAGCTTGCAATATACTTTAAAGACAGATAAAAGACAAATTTTGTTTTAAAGTATATGTACCCAGCTTGCTGCAAATTCAATGGAGGCTGCAATCAAAATTTTGATGACTTAGGATGGCATGCTACACTTAGTATGGACCCACATTCACCTTTTGTATCACCACAAAAACAAATGTAGTATCCATCTATAGCACCACAAAAACCAGAGATATACCACGGAACCCTTCCTCTTTCAAAGTGCTACAGATGGACGGTTATGGGGGGTCTCAGACTCTCAGCATCTCACAGCCCTCAACTCTCCCTGCCCACTCAAGGGAAAGGGAGGAAGAGAGTGGCTGGCTCCCTAATAGCTCACCCAGATGTGGCAAGTTGTCAAGAAGCCCTGTTAGAACCTCGTAGCCACCACCATGACAGCACCAACAACAATGTATTTGAAAAGCCCTGAATCCCACAGAAATGAGCAATCCAGTAACTTCATTGAATGATTCCCTTTCCATAGTCCTAGACAATGCAACAACTCAGTGACATGAGAAGGGGAGGGAAGGAGCAGGACACAAAATTTCCCAACAATACTGGACAGATTTCCAAGCTGAAATGGAACTGGAAGTATAATGAGCCCACACCCTTGCCAATTCCTGGAAAAACACTTCTATTTCTAGATGCAGTGATTCAAAGGCAACCACTTTCCAGCAACTACTTAAGATTTAAGTTAACATGAGAATTCCTATACATACGAAAGTAGTGTAGCTAGCATTTCAATATTATGAAACATGTTGCACTGTAACAGTTTCAATGCTGCTTTTCTTAAGGGTCTCTAAAAAATCTAGTGATCAGTCATAATACTGTACTGTGTTATCACAAGAACTTTAGCCTAAAACAATTTCTGCCAAGAACACGGGAAACAAAAATAGATAAATAATTAATTTGCTTTCAGTGCACTCATTGTTCCACAGTAACCATGTATGGGTGTCCAATAGCTTTATAAGGTAAAAATGTAAAATCATTTGAAAGCTATGCAGTGCTTCCTTTAATGTTATATGACTTCAGAGGCAGTGACAAGCTGACAGTGCTCTTTATGCTGCAGTTTTAGATCTTACAAAAGCTTTGTAAATATACAAAAATAGGTATGAGTAAATAACTTAAGTAAGTAAGTCTGTAAGTAACCTAAATAAAGAAAATAGGACCAATTTGTAATCAAAATAAAGTGTTTATGCTGGAAAAAAATTCTAACCCCCCCAAAAAAACCGACAAAATAATGTCTCTCCCCCAAGAAAGCCTCTACAGCTACTTAATACTGAGCTAAACTGGACCATATTTTAGGAGAAAAAAAAGAAAAGATTTAGAATGTAAGCCCATGAAAGTTTGAGAATGATGCCATTTAAATTGCATGTGAACTACATCCCTATGAAAGAATCATTCATTTTGACATGCCTAACACTTTATTATAAACTATACTGGTAGAAATTGAGTGCTGTTCTTTTAAATAATTGTCTACTGTGAGCCTGCCCTTCCTCCTATTGAAGTCAATGGCAAAATTCCTGTTCTAAAAATAGTAAAGCTCAAAAAAATCCCAGTTTAGTAAGGGATTTTACTATAATTATTAAGAGTGCTACAAAAAGACAAAAAAATCATCAGAAATGGTGCACCCTTTTCAGAAAGAAAAGGGATACATTTCAGATTTATCCTGTGTGCTTGGAAATTAAGAACCTTCACCAACTCCTATCAAAATTAATTGAAAGCTTTTCACCAACTACAATGGCAGTTGAAGCTGGTTTGTAATACATTTTTAAAATGGGCAGGCAAGTGGGGGAAAATATTGGTTATGTTATTTTCATTTCTTAAAGACAGTCTTGCATGTGCCCTAAAATGCATGTTTGGCATGATAGGAGCAATGCCAGAGCAGCAACTTTCTCCTCTAAGCTTTACTTTGTTTTCTTAGGAAGCATTTCAAGAAAATATCAGGGGTTTACTTTTAATCAAAACTGAAAATTTTTCCAGCTATGGTTTAGCATTGTTCTTATTGAACACTCAGCCCCAGGGCACTTGACAATGGCTCTTTATGGCAAACTCACTAACTTCTGAGATGGTTCTATTCTCCAAATAATATAAAAATAAGGCTATTTATCCGCAAAACTAAAACACTGGACTACAGTGGTTCCTTTGAGCACTAAACAATCATCATTTACAAGTGGATGATTGACTTGAATACCTACTAAAACATGTTATATTGAATTGTTCTCTATGCAGCTTGACTTCTGGCACCCAGATTCAGCCCTTCATGTAGTTACTCATATGGAGGTGGATTTCCATGTCAGTGCAGATCAATCCAGAGCTGTCCAGACTTTCATGGAGCAGAACAGAATACAATACGAGTAGGTATTACTTAACCTTTCAAGAGTATTGGAGAGTAATAGGAAGCTGTCTGGAGACTGAGAGTCTTTTGGAAGGACTTTTTTTTGTACAGAGCCACTAAAAACCATTATGTCTGTTGCAGCCCACTCAAACAAGGAATCCTTAAATAGAAATAATATAGATAAGTGCTATCATATGTACAGGGATCCAGGTTTTGAGTTCTTAGGTTTGAGCCTGAGTTTTCCTAAACCATAGCTCATATTTTCTATAGTATCATCATGTCACAACAACAAAGGTTCCTGATCATGTACAGTGGTCATGCACATCTTACCCTGGAAGCTAGAGCCATGGATGATCTGTTCCTTTGAACAACCAGGCCTATAGCATACCAAGAGGGACATCCAAAAAATTAGAAATTTGAACAATCATCAGTTTGTTCCTATCAGTCACACAAAGAAAATGACTATTACCAGGACTACTGTGAGACTTCTTTATAACTGGCTGCTAATGCTTCAAAATTCTGAGTTCAGATAGTCTGTGAGGTCTCTTTCCATTTGTATATTACTCCAGAGAGAAAGAGCAGTCCAGTTACAGCATTAGACCATGATTTAGGAGTCCCAAGGCTTAATTCTTTACTCCAGCCCAACATCCTCCTTTAAGAGGAGGCTAGACGAACACCTTGCCGGGGTCGTTTGACCCCAGTACTCTTTCCTGCCATAGCAGGGGGTCGTACTTGATGATCTGCTCAGGTCCCTTCTGACCCTACAAACTATGAAACTATGAAACTATCCCATTGACTCCAAACAAGTTATTTAGTTTCTCTGTGCCTCAGATACCCATCTGTAAAACAGGGACAATGTTACTACCCCTGCCTGACAGAGATGCCATATGGATAAAGAATGTCATGAGCTCAGAGGCTATGGTAGTGTAAACATGTCTCTACTTTAGAAACATTTCCTATGATACTTCATTTTCAAACTAGCATACATTTATGTATTATCATGTGTCATACAGAGTTTTATTACATAACCTGCAAGAGGAGATTGAAAAACAGTTTGATGGCAAGAAGAATTTTACTGCTAGACACTGTTACACAAAATACAACAGCTGGGATACGGTATGGAACAGTTTGTGCATTTAAGGAAATAATCTCTCTCTCTCTCACTGCTGCATAAATCCCTATGGTAGGATTTGAAGAGGCTATACACAAGACATCTGCCTTTTGTGTGGTATGAAACTCCATTCTACATGGGTTTATCATGGGCAATGGGGTTTGTGGATGGGGCGTTGTAGGTGAAGGTGAGATTGCAGAATTTGTTACTAAGCAGATCTTCTAGTCTTACCTACAGGGGAAGCAGTGCAGAAACACAACAGGGGAAGTGGGACTGAGAAGCCATTCCAGTCTACCGGTAGCTTCTATCTAAGGAGGTTCTCTACTACCCCAGGGTGATGCAAGAAAAATAGGGAAAAAGATTCCTCCACTTTTTTACACTCTAAATCTTGTCATCTGAGACTGGTTCAAATGACCACATGTTGTTTTTTAATCTAGATTGCTGCCTGGACTGCTAGAATTGCTAAAAAGTATCCAAAACTGGTCTCTCGCATTGAAATTGGAAATACTTTTGAACAGCGGCCAATGTACCTCCTTCAGGTATAAATGTCTTTTCAGTTAAGTTATACAAAGTCATGATGGGTGGCTAAAATCATAGATATGTTATCCTGGTTTTCTCTCTTTAAAAATCATGCATTCTCTAATTTAACACCCCCCCCAACTTCTCTAATTAAAAACCCCCAAATCCATTTTGCCATGATTAAAATGAAATGCCACTATATGTAGGTATCAATTGAACACAATATTTTATTAATATAGTTATGATTTTAAAGCATTTTGGAAGCATACCAGTGCCTCAGTTACTATAATAAAATACATTCTAAATACCTATAAGTGTTGGCATTTGATTTGGGGTTTTTATCATGGAAAAATCAGAGCTCCCCTGCTCCCTTTGCTCACCAGGACATGGGTCCAGCAGCAGCTGTCCCTGCTGCACTGCTTTGTGGCACTGAGCAGCCCTGATATGCCAGTACCCTGCCAATGCCATTACCCTCACTCCCAAGCCACAGCCCCCCAGCCCTGCTGGTGCCCCTCACTCCCGACCCACATGCCCCTGGCCCTGCTGGTGCTTCTCACTCCCACTCACAGCCTCCCATGCCCCACCAGCCCTGCTACAGTGGGCCCCCAGCTGCCATGGCTATGGGGCCAGGGACCCAGGTCCACAACCCCCTGCCCCTCCAGCAGCACCTAAGCCCTGGCTGCCACCCATGGGTGGTGACAGCTGCTGTGGCCCAAGGAGAACACAAAAACTGGATCCCCCTCCCCCACAGGGCTGGAGCAGAGCCCATGGGGAAGGGATGCAGCTACTGTGGCTTAGGACTCCCACCCTGCTACCCTTCCCCCTGGGGCCTCCACAGTCCAGTGAGTGGGACCCAACACGGCAGAGTAGGGTAGGGCAGGGAGGCTCGGTGCTGCCGCCAAGAGCCCTGTGCCACCATAGCAAGGTGCTCCCTGCCTGCCTGGCAGCAGTGAGTAACACAACTCCATCCTGGAACCCCTGCTGCTGCCAAGCAGACAGGTCATATGGCATCCATATGGCCTCACCATGGCTGCAGGGGGCTCCTGGCAACAGCACCAAGCCTCCCTGTCTTGCTCTGCCCTGATGCATGACCTGCTGTGTCATGGAGGCCCCAGAGGGAAGGCAGCAGGCCAGGGAGCCCCAAGCCTGCAGCAGGCAGCCTCGCCCCCCAGACAAACCACCTGCGGCTCCATGCCGCTCCCCGCCCAGGCCCTGCAGCCACACATTCCTGCCCAGGCCCTGGGCCTCAAGCCCCAGGCCCCAAGCACCACCCTGGCCAGGCAGTGCCTCCAGCCCCAGCCCTACCCAATTCCCTCTCTCCTTCCTTCACTATGGGGCCCTCAATACCCCTCCCCCCTAGACTTACCTGCGGGAAGCTGCCGGAGCTGCTCACCATGCTGCCTGGCTGCCATGTGCATGCGTGCGTCCACTGCCTGATTGCCCTCCTCCTGCTGCCCCCAGCCCTTTGCAGGATGGAACTCTGCCAGCCTGCAAGGGGAAACCACCCATTTCCCTTGTTTTTCTCCTTAAAAGAAGAAAATCCTCATTTTACGGTGTTTTTCCATAGCAAATGGAAAACCCAGATCCCTGGTTATCAATCAATTAAGTTGAAAATAGTAAATTGGTGATACTGCTCCAGGGATTAAATATACAATACTGGGATGACGAGAAATGCAAAAGTGTAACAAGGTCTTCCAGCATACAGGGCAGGGGGAGCACTGGATATGCTGACCTCTGAAGAGGGGAGGGAAGGAGCAAAGTCTTACCTGCAGCTGCTCTTCAACGAGTGAAGGCTGCTGCTGCTACAGCAGCTTTGGCTTGGGTAGTATCAGGCCCGTAGCCAGGCTCCCTGAGATCCATCCCTGGTGTCCAGTTCACTTCCCCCTCTGATCTAAACATATTACTGGGTGCAAGGCTGTGCTTGCTATGGCAAAAACTCCCCAAGGTTGGGGGAAGCACCATTCTGATCACCCCCTGCTCCCTAGATACACTGCTGGATGTGGCACTACCTTGCCCAGCTCCCATGCCTAGTGTGGGGCAGCACAGGGTTGTGTACATCACGGTAAAGCACAGGGCTGTGTATGCCAGGGTTGAAGGGGGACGCTGGTGGTGTCTGCTCACCTCACCATAGTGACACTACTGGAGACGTATATTAAAGATAAAATGTACCTTAGAAAGTGCCTAGACTTATCAATTGCCTTGAAGTTAGGAAATAGCAAAAGTAATACAGTGTCATGTGTGATAAAAGACCGTAAATAGACAAATAACAACCAATACCAAGTGCATTCATATAGCATCTTAAATATAATCTAGTCACTAAATACCTCTCAAAGCTATACAGAAATCCACAGATCTGCAGGTCTTTTGTGAGTAGTGGGGACTTGTATCACATGGATATTTTCCAAGAGGTGCAGAAAGGAACAAGTGTTGATCTCCCTGGGAACATGCAGATGCTGCTCCACTGAATAGCGATCTGGAATTTTGTGACTGAGGGTGACAGCATATGAATGCAGGACAAGCCACTTTTCATTAGGCCCTCACATATTGAGACTTAGCTATCCAATATCGAGTTGTTCTCTGTGAAATAACATTTCCAATCAAATCGCAATTCTATGGCAGAGTAGAAAGGCATCAGAAAGGTAAGACTTAGTGAACGAGAGAACAGCATTCTAACAGCACACAACATGTTAATGAACTACATTCCCAGTGGTCCAGAATTCCTGGTTTTTCCAGGAATATCTAGCTTTTTCAGAACTTACATTTTATATATGCAAAAATGATCATATATTTTCAGTCTAAATGAATTTAGGTAAAGAGAAAATAAAAACACAAAAAGGACTAGCAAAGTTTTCAGAAAGTAGCACGTACATCATGATGCATCAACTAGCAATTGCTTTAGAAAACCTCCTATATGAAATTTAAAGGAATGGTACACAAAAAATGAAAATCTTCTACAGATGAAGATACAAGCCCTGAAGTTTAATGGAGGAACAGCTCCTCCCAGAGGAAGTAACATCTTTATCTTTGAAAGCAGGTTGGGAAGGTGAGTGGTAGAAAGAAGACCATCTTTATGGACTGTGGGATCCATGCACGTGAATGGATCTCACCCGCATTCTGCCAGTGGTTTGTGAAGCAGGTCAGTAAACTCAATTATATTCAGAAAGCCTCTTGCCCTGATATTGCTAGGAGTCATATTCTGATCCACTTCCTTTGCAATCTGGGGGCTGAACTGGAGCTGTCTAGCTAAACTATGTCTAGTAACCCTGAAGTTGTATTCCTATGTGAGAGCGAGTGCAACAGGAGCAAACCAAACTTTTTTCTGTAGTAGGTAAGTGGAACATGGCAGACTCCTCAGTCACCATGCCCCACAGAATGTAATAAGCATGATGCAGGAGAAAAAAGGGTGCCAGTTTAGCGGTGTAATCATACTCTCATATGGCTGTTTTGAAGGTCAAGCAAAAAAAGCAAGCTGTGCATATGAGCCACCTGAACAGGACTCTAGTCTAAATTAAAAGACAAGGTCATAATGAAATAAATGCTTGCAATTGCTTGGCATAGGTTATCTCAAACCACTTGTCTATTGAAACTCATCATCTCTAGTTTATGCCCTCATTGATTTATTGGGTAATTTGGGTCTGTCTTCAAGAACATAGTACTGGAACAGCTTGGCATTAAACTATATTTCTGTGTACATCTCCCTTACAGGCTACCAGAACCTATGGAAAGGACAAGACCATGACATACCTGCTAGATAATTTGAACTTCTACGTTCTCCCTGTGTTCAACATTGATGGCTATGTGTGGAGTTGGACTAAAGTATTGCCCACCTTTGGCTATTTTCTATACTTCCTGCAGCTTAGCTCTCAAGATTCATTAAAGTCCCCATTAAAAAAAACCCCCTCTAAGTTATACTCTAAAGAATAATAGCTTAAGGGTCCTTTGAGAGAGCGAGTCCCCATTAAAAAAAAAATCTCACTCTCAAAGGAGTCTTAAGCTATTATTCCTTAGAGTATAACTTAGATCAATACTTTAACAACCTGTATAATAGACCGCCAAAAAGAAAAAAATCCCCTTAGATTACAGATCATTCCGTCTAGTGCAGATCGCATTCAAGTCTGTGAACCAAATAATTTTCCATGTGAAAGGTCAAGGCCTGACTTTAGTTCATGTCACTGAAAATACTGTTAAAAAACATACATTTAGGTGAGGCAACAAGGCTTGACTAAGGTCTTCCATATAATGTCAGCCCATCAGTAACCCTCTGTGAAGATGAGGAAATAGATGGCTTTGGCACCTCCTGCCAATAACAAGATGGAACTCCATACTGCTCTTTAACAGGAAAGACTATTTATGATAACCCAGGAGAGGATATACCTAATCCACACCTATACCAGTCCACCAACCCCTACACCAGTCTAAATGAGGGGCACAGAGGAACTGTGAGCATTATTATATCTGCGGATGACAAACTATGTTTCAGTGCCTAGCCTGCCTGTGCAGGGTATATTCCATCTTCTTATACATAGCCAAATTATATGGGTCTGGAATAGATGGGGAGTGTATGAATTTCACCCATTAACAATTGTTTCTCAAATATGATAGATTGCAGTCCTCAGGACTTTATTTGCAGTCACATCAGGGCCTGTGTTTATAGTTACTTGAAAGCATTAAATGTACTCAGCTGGGAACTGCAATCCAAACAACTGCAAAAAGAAATGCCTTCTCTAATTGTTAATCTCACTACTTACACATTGTAGACATAAGGTGCAATTCAAGTGTTCAAAACTCAAACTGACATGGGGTACGTTCATTAGATGTGTAGTCCCAGCAGACTGCTTTTCCTTTGACTAATGTTGTCTTTTATTCTGAAGATGAAAGTCTTTGTGTTAACTGTCTGGATTTTAGCTTAGATCTGAATCAATCTTTACCTCTCAGACTAAACCCAATCTGACCAAATAAGTAAAATGAAGTTCTGTATTTGGTTTCAAATACTTCAAGCACTTTGTTTTGTAGGATCGCTTATGGAGAAAAAATCGTTCCAATAACTCTAACACCGACTGCATTGGTACAGACCTGAACAGAAACTTTAATGCTGCATGGGGCAGTAAGTAACTTAAGAGAAGAAAGGGTGAGGAAACTAATCTGTATGAGTAGACTGGTGACCTGGGTTATTTTATTGGTCATTGAAAATGAGGGACTTCATTACTCCAATTAACAATTTACTGCATTTAGGCTGTAAGCCAAAGAATAATAATGCAAATCTTATTTACAGCTGTTGGTGTCTCAGATGATCCATGCGATGAAATCTATTGTGGAACTGCAGCAGAGTCTGAGAAAGAAACTAAAGCTGTGGCCACCTTCATTCGTGAGAACCTCCACTCCATCAAGGGGTACCTGACCATCCATTCTTACTCTCAGATGTTGTTGTTCCCTTATGGCTACACTTCAAGAAAAGCACCTAATCATGATGAACTGGTATGTTAAAAAATGAAAGTAGACCTAGTTTGATGGCTGAATTTTTCTTCATCAAATATTGCCTTTTTCTACTATTTGAAATTTTCACCAGTAAGGTTTTTGTTTTCCTTATTTCTGAATGTTCCACTTTTTGATGAAGACAGTCAAAAGTTTGAAAGGATTTTCTTTTCAGTTTGTCTTTTTTTTTTCCTTGCTAAAAGGAAATAAAAGTGTTAAAAGAGCAGAAAAAATAGGGTAATGAGGGAAAAGTAAAACAAACATTTTTAAAATATATATTTTTATGAACCAAATCAAAAAGTAATTTCTGTTCAAAACCTGTGGAATAACCACCTCAAATTATTTGCTATTTTCTATCCCCCACTTTATTTCCAGCCAGCTCTGCTACCCTTTTGCATATATAAGTCAATCAGTACCTGACTGACTTGGGTACAAAGCTGCAGTCACCATTAACCTTTTCTCTCAGGTTCATTGCCAAGTTTCACAAGCTTCAAACTGAACCTTCTCTAAATGCCTACCTGATACAGAAGAAAACAAAACCAGCCTCTCCAACACAAGTGGTGAACCCCAGTTACTTAACTAGGAGCCTACCACCAAGCCAATGGTTATTAGATTACCTAGAAATATAAATATGCTTTTCTAATCAACCCATTGCTGCAGGTTCTGATCTTATGGGCTGATCTACAGGAAACAACCCTAGGGGCAATGGTATATTTCAGCCTAGAGTCAATCTTTACCTTCTGGAAATCTTGTTCCAACAAAATGGAATAGCCAGAATCCGCCAGATGAAAACCAAATTACACTGCTAATTAACTGATACCTAGCCATTTAGATAGAGGCTAACTACCTATGTTAGTCTGAAGTCAGGCAGAAGGTAGGGTAAATATGCTCCTTATGTATAAACTAAATTCCAGAGAGCACAAGCTTTCATGAGCTGAAGTTCATTTCAACAAATGCTGCAATGCAGTCATGTGAAGTCGGTTCATGAAAGCTTGTCCTCTCTATATATTTAGTTGGTCTATAAGGTGCATATCTACCCTGGCTTCTGCCAATCATTTAGATATCAGTCTAAATGATGCCCTGTCCAACTTGTGCTCGATTCAGCCCGGTGACTTAGGGATAAAAGGGCCAAAGACACTTTTGCACAACTCTAGACCACATTAACGCAAACAGAATAACACTGGAGGACACAAGGGACTCAAGGAAACACATTCAGAAGTATCCATATCCCATTACCTATCCTATCTGCAATGTTAGGCTGCTTATACATGTGTTTGTTGGTGTTTTAATTAGAATGTGCTGAAAGATTAACCGAGTCTGCTCTGCATTCTAATTAGACCACTGCTGCATTGCTGCAGCTTCATGTGTATTAAGCCCCCACACATTTTTAATGAGGTTGAATGAGGTTTAGAAAAAGCATCCCATGGCCATTGTTAAATGCATGGGGGCTTAATACACATGACAGGGGGATATTTTAATTAGAGCGGTTGCCCAGGAACCACTCTAATTCAAATGCCGCCCCCCCCCCCCCCAAGCATGTGTATAGGCAACCTTTAAAACCAAACTAATTTCATTTGAAACTGATAACCAATGGGGTTAGTCCTATAAGAACATATATGCTTTAGAACAGGGGAGAGCAAAATACTGCCCATAGGCCAGATCCAGCCCACCAGGTCATTCTATTAGGCCCATGGGGCCCCTCCAAAAAAAAATTATTACTGGCCCATGGCTGCCCATCTGAAAGCCCCATGTGGATGCACCAAGCATGATGGTGCGCAACTGGACAAATAATGAGTAGGGAGGGGAGCTCCTGCCTGCAGGAGGAGTGAGTGGGTATGGGGTTTGTGTGTGAATACGTGAAGGGGGTGGGGTTTGTGGATGGGTGCATGCTCCCTCCCCTTTCCCCCCCCCCCCACAATAACACACAGCCCCTGTTGCCAAAGGCAGCAGCTGAAGTGCTGGGAACCCCATGTGCTGGCATGGAACCAGCCCAGCCCGATGGCACACAGTTCCCAGAAGGAGAGCCATGGGGACTTGCATACCATTGGGCTGGGCAGGCTTCATGCCGCCGTGTGCAGCTCCCCACTGGAATGCTAGAAGCCCCGCATGGAGGCACAGAGCCAGTCCACCCTGGCCCAATGGTGCACAGCTCCTGCCTGCAGTGCCAGAAGTAGCATGTGGCGGCATGAAGCCAGCCTGGTTAGGACCAAAGGCATGTACCAGTGGGGAGGGCCAGCTTCCTGCTGCCACATGCAAATCCTAGGACTCAGCTGGACCCGCACACTGCCAAGGGGCTGTGCCTGCCACGGGCCATGAGCGCCCCAAGGGCTTGCTGCCTGCTGCTGCCACCAGCAACAGGGGCTGTGAGCCATGGAGGGGGGAGACATGTGGCAGGGGGCCCACACCCACCCACCAACACCCCAACAAATCCCACGCACACCACCCCACAACCCGCACACACCCACACACACCCACAAATCCAACCCACCCAACCACACCCCGCACACAATATACAAATGTAAGACTTTATTTTGAGCTATTATGCAATCACCTCTATATACACTATGCAAATGCAAGTACATTGAGACAAAAATCCTTTTTGAAATAAAATTAAAATATGTTATAGTAGATGTTTGTGATTTTTAGTTTATAATTTTTTTTCTGGTTCAAAGACAGCAAACCCCCAAAAGGAGTACTTCCAGGAGGCAAGGGGAGAGACTTCTGGTGGCAAAGGTCAGGGGCTAAAGGGTGGGACTTCCCGTCCCAAGATGGCACTCAGGGGGCAGAGCACTTGTCAAGGGGCAGGGCTACCCTTGACAGCTCACCAAAAGTCATTAAGCAGCCCTCCAGCCAAAATAATTGGCCACCCCTGCTTTAGAAGGTGGCCGGGCTCCCCAGGAGTTTGAGCAAAAGGAGCTGATGTTCCTGTTAAGATGTCAGAATTTGTTGGCTAAATAAATATGCTTTTGGGATGCTTGCTCACAGTACTTAAATCTCTCCAAAACTAGCTTTCACTGACAGACTGTCTTCCTTTTAAAAAGAATAAAGTTGCTGAGGAGGCAGTGGAAGCTTTGTCCAGTATGTATGGCACAAAATATAAATACGGAGTATCAGCCACTATAATCTGTAAGTATTTCAGTCCATCATCTTTTCAGTGTCCTTATAAATGTCATTGTTACTGCAACCAGCTCACACCCAGGCTGTTTAGCAATACCTGACATGAGGAGAAGCAAGGTCCTGGTATGAAACTGTGCATATGGGGAGGGGAGTATCAGGGTTGAGGGGTGAAGATATAACCCTGGAAAGTACCAGATTCAAGGTTTACAATACCAAGAGCCAAGGTTCAAGACAGCAGGCTGAGGGAACAGGAAACCAAGGATGAAGAACCAGGACTAGGAACAAGGAATCAGGCACACTGGAAGTATCTCCCCCATACCCAAAAAGAAGCTATTGTGTTATGAATCCACCAAGAACTGAAAGGGCTGCGGCCTATATGCCACAGCCTCACTCAGGCACTTGATAGGAGCTAGTTGAAGGCATTCCAACAACTAGCAGCCAATTCTACCCAGGCTATCAGGGCCAGCTGAGGCTTGTCTGGTGAGAGCGAGGTACTCTTTGTCCAATCAAACACATACCGGTATGGTGTTTCTTGCCCCTCAATAAAAGAATAAGGATTTTCTTTTTTCTCATGTAGGAGCAGTCCATGTAAAGAGAATTGCGTTTCCCCTGGCCCAGCTGTTTCATAAGTACTAAATGCAGCATTTCTAAGACCTCCATTGGGTTTCTGATGTCAGACTGAGATATAAATGCTACATTTCTTCCATGTTTGCCTCAGTCGATTAAGAATAGTGGGAAGTTACATGAAAATTATAACACCAGAAACTGACCAATATTCAGAATAGCCAAAAAGGAAGAGGGATTGTCTGCTATCATCAGGCAAAGAATAAAGTAGCCAAACTGATTCTTTATTATTCATTATCTGTATTATTGTAGCCCCTAGAAACTAGAATCTTACACTTGCAGTAAGATTTAGGATCCAAAATGTATTTTGGTCTGCAAAAACATTTTACTATGTACTCCTAACATGTATGTTTGCAAATTTAGGAATAGTAAGGAAAAGCAATAGCTTCACCCAATAAGTTTACTGAGCAAAAGCTCCATTTAAAAAAGAACTTCAAGGGTCTAGTATATAGTAGAGGACAGCAAGGCATAAGATTTGTTTACTACTTGTACCATTTGAATGTCTTTAGTAATGGGTGAAATTACAATTACCAATTTGCAAGTCTGTCACTATAAGAAGTATGGATCATATTAACAGACACTGTCAAGTACCTGTGGCAGTTACTATGTAACTCTTACATAGCCTTAGGTTAATTTCAAGCTTCTAATCTATTAAACTATTAGTTCTTGATGACCTCCCCATCCCTCTGGCGCACACACACCCTTTCATTTAACAGGACACCTTGATGTTTTTCATCACAATTTTCTCCCCCACAAAAAGTGATGCTTTACTTTAAAGTCTGCATGCCCCCACACCAAGCCCAGTGCACGCCCAGAAGAGGCACTGTATTAATTGGACCCAGCTCACTCAACAGCTGTATAGATTGGGTGCTTCAATGGGGCTTTTTTGGCTCTTTTATCTAATAACTAATTCAATCACCTTTAGATAAAAGCTCCAAAAGCCCTGCTGATGCACCCGATCTGTACTGCTTCTTCTGGTAAAGCATGGCTTTTGAGGGGGGTTTTCACTATCAGCAGCCTTTAATACTAATTATACCTATCTTTTTATGTTTCTACAGACCCTACTTCTGGTAGCTCTGATGACTGGGCTTATGATGAGGGGATCAAATACTCCTTTGGTTTTGAGCTCCGTGACAGGGGCAAATATGGTTTTCTTCTCCCTCAATCTAAGATAAAGCCAACCTGTAAGGAAACTATGCTGGCAGTCATGCATATTGCCAAGTATGTCCTCAATCATGCTTCCTAAAATATTTTGCTATATGACAGACCATATATTTCGGTAGAAGAGCTTGATTTTTATTCCCTTCTGAGCTTCTTTCCTTTCATAGAACAAGAAGAAAAACAGCACCCATTCCTACTATTTGTTGACCTACTGCAGATGATTACAAACAAATAAAATCAGTTTTCAGAACTAGCCAATGACTAAGTTCCAGCATACCAATACTACTGAGCATTTTTCATTCATAAGCTTAGATTTCCTGAGGTACTTACTGTGCGGGCCGGGAGCAGTCCGAGGCCCTCGGGGGTGCGCGGCGGGCTGTGGCCAGCAGCCCTGGCACACGGATCGGGGAATGCAGGCCGGTGGACTAGAATTAGGCACGGACACTTAGCGGTTGATTAAAGATTATTTTACTTACACCGTAGATGGTCGCGGTGCAGGCAGGAAAACTTGCTTGAGTTGCAGTTACAGACAGGAAAGAAGAAAAGCGGACAAGAGTTCCTTCCACGCGAACCTCTAGCCCAATCCGGTTGAAGGCTCTAAACACGCGATCCCGTTGTGTCAACCGAAGAAAACAACTCGGAGAAAAGAGCTCTGGATACACTCACACGAAGTTTGCTAGGCTCCGTGGAACTTGCGCGCATGGAAGGGGTTCGTCGAGGGATCATTCGGCGACGGGGAGAGGCCAGAGGTTGATCAGACCCCTATAGCCTTCTTAAGGTACACGCTGGGTTCGATAGGCTCCGCAGCGCTTAGGGTTCTTCACAAGACGTGAAGCCCTCCTCCTCCAGATGGCTGTGGAGTCCTCCCTTGCGGGGTTCTCCTTGGAGTTCTCCAACTTGGGCGGAAACCGCCCAAGCCAAAGAAAGCTCCGAGTGGCGGGAAATAATTTAGCAGTGCCGAAGCACACACACACCAAATCACACCCTTGGGTTGTGACACTTACGTACACACACCAAAGATCAAGCACACAAGTAGTCCCATTGACATCCAGTCATTAATTACCAGAGCTCATTGGAAAACAAAGTGTAAGCAGGTCACTTACCCTGCTGCCTTAAAAAGGTAAGTGAGCCCTGTTTCCAATTTCTCAGGCCAATTTACTTTTCATCACAACAGCCTTCAATGCACAATACAGCACAACACAGACCTCTCATTTCCAGACATTAGGAGAGGGACAGTTAGGTCTGGCTTCCTGTCAGCCAGCCCTCCTGGAATTACAAAATCTCTTTGTGGTCCCACCCTCAATAGCTGGCCATCACTTTGAGCTGACTCTCAGCCAGGCAGACTGTTACAACTGACCACCTGCAGCCTAATTATGAGCCCTTGAGGGGCCAAGCACCTCCTTACACAAAGCATTTATCTAAAAAACACTTTTTGTAGAAATATTACATTTTCAAGTTCCCTTTTACAAAAAATGAGATAGGCAAAGAGCACTTAGGTGGGCCGGGGCCACTGAGCTACTCAGTGGCAATGATCGGATTTAAAACTGGTGTTCAGTCCCTGGTATCAGGCAGAGCTGACAATGTAACTATAAGAAATTAATGGTGTTTGTATTCTTGAAAGAAGATGATTCAATCATGCTCTTGGTTCTAACTTTCTAGCATTAAAAAAGAATGAGTGAAACTTCCTTTTAATTGATCACATTTCAAAGCTTGTTCCTCCCCAAAGATTCCCATACATTTCTTTTGAATCTTTCCAAAGGCAGGAAAATCCAAGCACCTGTTTCAATTTCTTACTTCTGACTCCAGATTCCACTCTGTTGTCTCTTGCATGTTGGGCTGTAGGACTCGCATGCCATGGACTACATTTTTAATCCAGTACAAATATAAAGTTCAGATAACTTAATGGGCCCTACCCTCCTCCTTGTATGGCACTGGAGAATATTCAGCACACTTTAGTGGAGGAAGAATCACTTCCACAACATGGGAGACTGTGGAAAACTAGGCAGGCTCCTCAGAGTTCAAGGGAGAACAACAGGGACAAATACGCTTTTGCCAACACCTTCCTGTTCTGGCCCTGTGGCTATCGAGCAATTATCCCAATGGGAGTGAATGTTGGCTTGGGCAATACAAGATTTAGCTGTAACTCTGATTTGTGCTCATTTGGCTGATAGAAGTGGAGATGTCCAGTATATCCTGCAAACTGCTAGGCTGAGACACCCTTCCCTTCCCTCTAGCCACCCACCCAGTAGGGTGTGTGCAATGAGGCAACATCATAGTCATCTACGCACAGAAAGCCAACAAATAAACAAGAGAATTAATGACAAAGAAATCAGACCAAGCACACAGTGAGCACACAACTTGGCCACTGGCAGCTCAGGATCTCAGACGGCAAAGCCTGACATACATGGTGCTGAGCACATGCAGATAAATGCAGCAGCTGCTGAGGGAACTTCTCCTACAGTCTCTTTTTATTCCTTTGGCTGTTGTGGTGTTAGCTGTAGTGGCAGAGTAGCTACAGAGGGTGATAGACAAGTTTACTTCTGTGTTCAGAAAACAGTACATTAGGGACACAATCCTGCAATCACTGATCTCAACAGGAACTATGCTCGCAGTACGCTCATAGGATCAAGCCTTATGAGATTTAACAAGCCTATTACACAGACATATACCCGATGTCCATTCAGAGAAGCCACACGCTTTGAACATAAAAAAGAATTTTGAGTTGTTAAAAATCAGGGAGCAGCACAAGTGGGAGCCAAGCTAAGCAGCCATTTATCATGCCAAGTACAAGACAAGGGGCTCAGAGCTGAAGCAAAAGCACTCCCTCATTCTTAAACTATGACGTTAAACGTCCCAAGACATTTGTCATTTGTGCTTCTGTTAAAAAATCTGCCACTGCTTGAGAAATACTTTAAATTGGATCAACAGTGACACCCTGTGGTCAGGTTTTGCCACAACATATGTTCTTACAAAGGATCCTTGCAGACATGTCCATACATTGAAAATAGGGCAGGCTGGCCTCTTAGGGCTCCTACAGACGTGAAGGAGCCTGCTCTGATGCACTGGAAATCCTGTGCTTTGAAGCAGACTCAGTTAATCGAGTCTGCTGGAGCACGAAAACTGATGTGCTCTGGCAGCCTTCTGCGTCATGTGTATCGGTGTCCCCACGCATCCCTGTGCTGAAAAAATGATGGCTGGGTGCTTTGAAATAAAACACGTTTAAAAAGCATTTTTTCAAGTGCCACATCACCATTTTTTCAGTGTGGGGATGTGCAGGGATGCTGATACACATGAACACGTGCACTTTTAGTTTTTATAACCTGCACCATGCTCAGCCAAAAGCACCTTCTGCCCTACAAAATGGAGGTGGTCAGCCTTGAACTCAAAGGGCTTGTCCAGATAAGCACGCATGTGCAGGGGCACACATTTCCCATGGCACAAAAAGCAGCAGCACATATTTGTGGCACTGCTTTTTGTTCCAGGGCACGTCCCTGCACACACACTCTGACATACGACAAATTGACCCAGGTGGGGTACGGGAGGATGGGGCCAGCACTCGTGCTGGCCCCAGCAGCCTTACCCAAGGTCCTGGGGCCTCCCGGGGCAGCAGCAGCAGTGATCTGGCCAGTTGGAGCCTGGCCAGGAGCCACAGTGTGGCTCTGGCCAGCCAGGCTCCATTTCTGGTGGCGCACACTGTTGCCACACCTCTTTTTTGACAGTGGGATCTCCTGGTGTCAAATATTGGTGCCATGCTGCAAATTAACAGTGTAGCAAACAGGTACATCGCTTTGAACAGCTTTGAGGTGCTACAAATCTCACGTGCACACTCATCTGGATGCAGCCATACAGTCAACCACATCAAGTCCTAAAGCCTATCTCCAGAGTTATTATCAGACACCAAGGATGCAGAGCTGTCTCTCTCATCTGGTATGGCCCAAGGGGTTCCTTGCTGCCCTAAAATTTCAAAAAGAAAACTTCTCAGGCATAACTAAGCAAGCTCCTAAACTCAGGACCATGGGCTGGAGAACTCAGTAAACTGACTGCTAGGCTATGGCTCTGGGATTTGCAAGCAGCCTCTTACTCCAGCCCTTGTTGGGCTAGAAGCCTTGCAGAGAAATTAACTAAACTTCAGGCACTGCTTCGTGCCCCAAGCAAATTTTGATCAGATCAGCCATGCATACACTGGCGCTCCAACCTCTTGGATTGAAGTAAAGTCCAGAAATGAAGGCTTGGTTCTCCATCCTGAGCTCCCAAATTGGAATTTGGGATGGAGAGCGCCCCAGACCTTGCACCACTGGTCAGGTTGCCTCAGGCACCCATGTAAACTAGGCTTGGGTTGAGGGGAAAAAAGGGCTCAGTCACCTCGGTGCCAAGGCCACCAAAGAGCAGAATTTTACTCATGCTCATTCCCCTTCAAAGGCCCAGCCCCTCGATTGCCAAGTACCTACATTGTGTATTCCTCTCTCTCATAATCCTTATGTGGTATGGCCTGAGGGATAGTGGCCAGCCCAAAAACAGCAATAACAAAAAGCCACAGGCTGCTAAGAGGAAACTGCCCCACAAGAAAGAAACAAGTGCAGCTTTGAACTCACACCATTTCCTCTCCCTGCTCCAGTACCCAGCCCCTGAACTACAGAGCACCAACACAGCCCAGCGTCCCTTCAGCGGTATGGCCTGAAGGATCACAGCCATACCCCTACCCTCAAAGACAAAAAACAAAACACACACAGAAGAGAAAACCCTCAACCCAGCAAGTAGGTGACAATGGCAGTTTTGAACTCAAGCCTTTTCCCTCACCCACTCCCACAACTCAGTCCCTTGGCTAAGGTGACAAGGCTGTGCATTTATGAAAATCCATTCTTTATCAGTCCAGGGATCTTGGTTTTCTCTGATTTAAAAAAAAAACCCAATTTTCAGTTAAAAAGTAACCCTAAATCCACATTTTTCCATGATTTAAATGAAACAGTACTATATATTTATTAGTGGAATTTAAATTAAATTCTCATTTAAATCATGGAAAAATGTGGATTTGGGGTTACTTTTTTTTAACCAAAAATTGGGGGGAGGGTGTTAAATCAGAGAAAACCAGGATCCCTGTATTATCACAAAAGCAGTACAGCTCTGATGGGTTCCTGAACCCAGGTAACCAGTGACTGCTCAGGGCACAAGTAGCAGGCCTTGCTTCCAGCCAAGAGGCTAGAACAGGGGCGGGCAATTATTTTGGGTGGAGGGCCGCTTACCCGTTTTGGCAAG